CGAGTTTTTAGTGCGCTTTTCAATAATATGTCTCTTTCATCAAAACTCCCGAGAACCAGCTTCAGGATTCTTCTTGGTTGGGTCTCGCCTCCAACCCATTTACCAAGTCGTATTACTTTTGTAATATGTACTCCTGAAACCTCTCCAGGTAGTACATTCCTTACCACAGACTCCACTAACTGCAGGTCATGTGCATGTCTTCTAACAGGGTCGTTGTCTTTCGACTCCTCTAGATTCCAAATAATTAAACTAGGGAGGGGTTTGGCTTCTTTTGAAACTGTGTTCACAGCTTTCGACCGTGACGTTAGATCCTGTATTTTAACTACTGGTATCTTACGATTAGTTTTTATTTTAACAGAGTCCTAGAAGTCAAGCGAATGACTCACAACAATGTCAGACGAAGCTTTACTATGGGACTTTGGCGGATTGGCCTGAGAGTCCACCAAGGACTTACCAAGTAAACAGTCACTAGTTTTAGCTATCTTTCCTACTCTTCTGCGTTTTCGCGTCATCCATTTTCCATCAGTCGAAACGTCTACATTAGAACAACTCGGAACAGTAATTGTCTTATCTGGGTCACCGGTTGCTGCTGTAGCAATATGGCCACCAACGTCTAATGACGTGTCACTCAATGAACGTTTCGGGGGAGAACGTTTAACTGCGGGTTGCACAGGTAGATCTCTGGCTTGCGCCGTGATAGCACTTACGACACTAACGCAATCTTCGCCATCAGTATCAATGTTATCAGTGCAGCCTTCATCAACCTTCTTTTTACCCAACACCAGGAAACTAATTGCTTCCTGGATAAGCAATGTTTTGCTTGAGCAACAAAAACTACAAAGCCAATGAGAGTTGGGCTTTGAACACCTTTTATATGCAGTGGGGCTTAGTCAGGTGCACATCTTATGGAACCACTTATTACACTCATCACATTGCATCCCTTCATCCACGGGAAATAAGCAGTATGGTTGTCCACATTTATGAGTAGACTTAGCCATCGTGAAAATCAACTAGAGCGGTGATAAAAAAACAGGATATGTAAAGGGATTTTCAAACCTTAACTAAATAAACCAAGTAAAAGTCGACCAAGTATGCTTCGATGCAATAAATACACATAAGCAAAATCGAAAAACTCAATACAATATCACTTCAACTGGGGTAGATGCAATTAAAGTGTAAACAGTAGTTTTGATGCGTAGTTTACGATCAAAACAGTTAATTAACTCAACGAGAAAGAATACCACTCGTCCATAAATTAGTCTGCATGCTTGGGGCACTTCGTTAACAAACCTGAAAAACGTAGTATTGAAATAAGGTGTCAGGGATGAAACTATAATTTATAGACGACCTTAGAGCTAAGCTAGACTGACCTTAAGAGTGTCCACCTAATACATATGACCAAATGAGGGTTCTAAACCTGTGTGAGAAATCAGAATTATGTTAACGTTAAGGATTAGATTTCGGGTTTTCATCACGAGTTGACATCAGCTATAATGCCAAAAATATTTAAACAAATTGGATGAGTGAATTTCGAGTGAATATCCAAGGCCTATTATCCTAAGTGTTGTTGGTACGTTCATTAATTATAGTCTCGTTGAGGATACTATTAAGCTACACAAACACTACCGGCATTGCACTGGATCACTGCAAGTACTTTAACAAACAACTTACGTAAAACTAGTCTACGATAACCTTTGAACTGTGCTGAGGTGACCTTGAGGATGTCCACCTTCTTAGAAGGGTTAAATGTGGGTTATAGATTAGTTTTAGATATTAGGACTAGAAGTTACAGTTGAACGCTAAGGTCGGAAATTAGATTTAGGGTTTCCATCATGAGTTAACATCAGATATAGTGCCGAAATGCTTTTGATCAAGCGGATGAGTGGATTTTGTGCGGAAACTCAGTCTTCAGTAATAAGGATAGGAGGTCTGTCGACCTATATTAACCCTTGCAGTTTGTAATACCGTGGAGATCCAATCTCGTTTTGAATATATTAACAGATGGTGCTGATATTACGTGTTCCGGTAGAGAATTCCAGTAATTCACGACTCGGTGCGAGGAACGGAACTCCAGACGTGAACGGTTTGATCACAGTTTTTGAACTTTCTTCGAATGTCCTCTCAAATAATCGGTTTTAGACGGAAGCAAGAGTTGTTTAACTGCATCACTACACTCTTATTAGGATTTACTTTTAGTGACCACCTGTCTAACCATGCCACCAATGAGCTAAGATCGTCCTGTAATACTATTCTATCCGACATACTATGTATAGGTCTCCAAATCTTTTTCATCAGCGAAGAGTAGAACGGATGATTTTGCTACAGTTGGCAATTCATTTACATAAAGTAAAAAGAGAAGAGGACCCAGGATTGTACCTTGGGGAACCCCACCTTTTACAGGTACCCACGAGGGGAGAGCCCCATTAACCCTTACCATTTGTCTCCTGTCATGGAGAAATTTAATTATCCAATCGATGACTGTATAATGGATTCCAAAACGTTTCAGTTTGAATTTAAGACCCGAACGGGAAACCTTATCGAAGGCCGTACTTAGATCCATGAAAATCACATCCACAGGAGCATTCCGATCTTTTGCAGCAGCCCAATCTTTTCTTGCAATGAGAATACTTGACAAGCGAGATAGGCCTTTCCGAAAACCATGTTGTGCCCTGGAGAAAAGATTATGCCCTTCAACATAATTTATAACAGATATCGGAATGATTTTCTCCATCATTTTTACAACTGCAATAGTTAAGCTAACGGGTCTACAGTTACTAACATGTGATGACCTAGTGAGTACTAAAATCTAAGCAGGAAAAAGACCTGAAGTGTTTGAATTGTGACTGAGAAGGGCGGTATATCAACCGACGAAACGGTGAACTGTGCCCTCAATAAATTTTTACTGTTCGTCTAGGTCAGTATGGTTGTGTTAGATAGAGCAGGATACATCTTTTTATTATCATAGTTAATTCTACAGTGGGTTTTACATGAGGTACGTTCGGACGGTGAACAAATATAACACGTTGGGTGGCTCCTACGTTTAACACACTGTTTTGTAAAATGTCTCAGATTTTCATCCTGGATCATGTAATCTCATAACGTGTGGAAAGTGTAGCCATTTAATGTATGATCACATTCCCCAAAGGTTTTATATGTGCCATTACGCAATATCTGGAAGTCATTAGGTTGAAATTCAATGTCAGTGACATCGTTGGTAGGCCAACTTTGAAACAGAGCCTCAATAACTATACTTTTACCAAATATGAGCTCTCTGAGTACAGGGATTTCCTATTCTATTGTTCTGAAGCTAATGTGTCAGAAGTGAGTAGGAAAGGAACAATATCAGAGTGCGTAATATACATACCCAGTCTGATTGAGAGAAGTGCCATCCAGTAGCGACGAAAAGTACATTATGATCACTAAGACTTCAGAAATGACAAATGTTAGAGATTTATCAAGCCACAACTGTAAAAAACCATAACACAGAATGATTATTTGCGCATATACGTGTGGCCTTCAAAAAGAAGATTGATATAAATGTTCTTTAGATCGATTTATTTAAAATGTATCGAAATTGATAAGCGTAATAAACAAGAATATACACAGCAACCGCGGCGGTGATTCATGGCCTCGTAACAAATACAGGTCACAGAAGTCTTTCTAAAACTCAGAATCTTGAGACTTCTCCTATCGATTCATGGAGGGTTTTCATGAGCTTAAGAAAACACAGTTACATTGAGGTTAACAGTTTACTTCTGATTAAAGTTCTTTTGTTTTCGAAACACCCCATATCAGTATATACTTACCTAATTTTGATACGAAATACTTGTAGATCATATTAACTTGTCACTTTTGGCAAGTTAACAATTTCATATGCAATCACGTTGAAGATGTCACAGGTATTCGGAGTTTGAAAACGATTTAACCGGTAAAACCTAATATAAATCATACCCACCAAGTGAAATAAAAGACAGAAGCGAAAAGGTTCGAAGATATATTTGATAGGCTATAAATATATCAGGGATCGTCTGATCTAACCTGGCTAACGATCACAGGATTTGTTTAGCACGGCGTTCCCACTCGTGATCTGGTGCGGATGCACGACCGAGTTCCTTCAGCTAATTGAGTCCACTAACACTAATGTGGTCAACATCCAATGTTCAAAACTTACAGAGCTATTTATTTTGGGGCTTTATTTACCGCTACAATACTATCAACGTATATCGCCCTCGCGAGTGCAGGAACAAGAAGAACTTGTAGTAACAGTAAGTCACGATCTAAAAACAACTGCATGTCACAACACAACAGCTGTCGAAGGTTTTTGAGCGTTATGGTTATTTCACCTAGTATTCAAACACTTTATCGGATTTTATACCCTATCTATATTAGACCACACCTAGATTATTGCGTCTAAGCACATTGTCAACGTCTTATTCAGAACACTGACACACCCGATCGTATGTTATTTAGTGAAGGGTTTTTACAAAGTCCCTTATAATGAGCGTTTAAAATACCAGAACTCTTTCCTCCTGTCGTATTGTACAACTCCAGGAGATTTTATACTAAAATTTCATGTTTTTTATTAGCGATTTGGGTATCGATGCCTGATATTTTTGCGCTCTCCAGAACTACTCATCTTCGAGGCCAGGGCAAGTAGGTTCGAAAACAACGATCCAATAAACTCAGAGAGCTGTTCCGTTTTCTCAACGAATGGTCATTGAATAGAACACATCAACTGAACAAATGAACAATTTAAAAAGTAAGCTAGGCCTTCATTGGAAAGTAAGCTTTAGGGATTATTGGAGGTTTCCCGACTTACTATCATCATTACAGAAGACGGAATACAGACCTCAGATTAAGGCATTCTGAAAACCGAAACCAGGAGCAGATAGTTTAACCCATTATAAACATAGCTTGTTAAACTATCGACATTTCATAATAAACATATTTCAGTTTTCACTCTTGTTTTTCCCCATTGCATGTACGTCTCTGTTTTCCGAAGTCAGCGCTGTTCGTAAGGCGCCTCTTTCGACTCTACAACGTTGCGGCGGCTTTATTTTGTTCGGAATCGCAATGTCTGAAAAAGCCAGCTGTGAATATGGCACACCTAAGTATTACGCGCTTTGTGGTCTCGGTGGAGTTCTAAGCTGTGGTCTCACACACACTGGAGTAGTCCCATTGGATCTGGTTAAGTGTCGTTTGCAAGTTGACCGAGCTAAATATAAAAATATTTCTCATGGATTTAAAATCACCATTGCCGAAGAAGGCATACGAGGTTTAGGAAAGGGTTGGGCACCAACGTTTTTTGGGTACTCTCTTCAAGGACTGGGAAAGTTTGGGTTTTATGAAGTGTTCAAACACATATACAACGGTCTCCTATCTGAAGTAGGTTACTTAATATTATATTCATGAAATCTTTTCCAGGAAGACGCGTATTTATGGAGAACATCTGTGTACCTGGCGGCCAGCGCCAGTGCAGAATTTTTTGCTGATATTATGCTTTGCCCCATGGAAGCTGTGAAAGTACGAATACAAACAATGCCGGGTTGGGCTAGTACACTCAGAGAAGGTGTACCAAAAATGTACAGAAATGAAGGCCTTGTTGGATTCTACAAGGGACTTCCTCCTCTATGGGGACGACAAATCCCGTACACAATGATGAAGTTCGCTTGCTTCGAACGCACTGTGGAAGCATTGTACAAGCATGTTGTACCAAAACCACGCGAAAAATGTTCAAAAAGTGAACAGTTAGTTGTAACTTTTGCAGCGGGTTACATCGGTATGTTAAGTTTGTAAATTTCTTATTTCCATAGCGGGTGTATTTTGTGCTATTGTATCTCATCCTCCTGACACAATAGTGTCGAAATTAAATAAGGATCCAAATGCACGCTTGGTGGAAGTTGCCAAAAATTTGGGACTAATGGGTAAGTCATCGATAGATCTTACAGAGCTTTTGACTTTCCGCTTGTTATCTAGTAAACGCAGTTGATTTAATTTACTAACCGACTAGTGGTCGGTAAGACTGAAAGGGTTACATTTCAAATCATAACAAGTGTTATATCTTCCAAAGAATAGTGTCTGTAGAGTATCATAAGTAGTTAGTACCTCTGGTAGTGCTACATTCACACAGAGGAATTAAGTGACCAAGCAAGTCTAGTATGGCTTATAAATCCGAGGTTCAACAATGAAAAAACCCAATATCCTTGCTGGAATTTTGCTCATAGAAGCAAATATGTAGGAAGAAGATATGTGTAGTGGCTAGCTTTCATTAAAACTCGATGGTCGTTCTTCCGGGTTGATAACACCACTGATAGACGACTTTCAAGACCTCTATACACCAACAACACTCTAGTTCCGTTCGTCACCAATTCTCATCGTTCACTCCATTTTCTTGGTTTTCACTACCTAACTTCATTGACTCTGCGATAAAAGTATTAATTCCCGTATTCTAGCCTTATGTCAAACAAGACGGAATTTCATTAGCTAAATGCTTAAATTTTTAGGAGCTTATCTCATACTTCTGAAGTCCGCCTACAGAATCCAAGCATGGTCTTCAGACTTCAATTCTCACACTCCATCCTTAAAATACTTATTGGTCGTTATTCAACAAAATAGCCTGAAGTTCTAAAAGTTATGTCGTTTGGTTACTGTCTGAATAAGTAGCATAAGAATTTGGAAGGGTCAAGATCGTTACATTCGCCTTCTTTGTTCCCTTTATGATTTTCCACTGGAATTCGGGTACTAACCAATGACAAAGAAAAAATGATATAAATAAAACACGGTCACAATGATCCAGATATTATTTATCTGTGAGTCGTCAACAATGTGTAATTGGGTACTTTTCATCTTCCGATTTCCCTTGTTTTCTTTTAGCTTATTTTTCACTTGCCTTTCATTACTCTACTTATTAATATTAGGGTCACTACCTTGACTTCTCTTTAGTTTGTTTACCTGTGCGACAACTAGGAATAATGCCAACTAGTGTGTGGTCCTATTCTGTAAGAATATCAAGAATTGGTGACATGCTTTACTCTCCATAGGCGAATATTTTAGGAGTGGTACTACCTTAATTTTTAACACTAATATTTGGTTCAAATTGATTTCATCTTACGGGGTATTCTACGAAAATAACAGCAGATTTACATTTTGTTTCGTATTCCGGACAGTCAATTCTAATTGTGCTGTTTTACAACTTCAAAATGTCGCACAAGCAAATATGCCTTAGTTGAATCAATGTTGGTAAAACATCATTGACACAAAAATCATACTAAACAACAATGTGAAATTAAGCAGTATAAAATGCTTCTTAACTTCTGGAGACTGAGTGACATGGCTCATAGCCGATCACAATAGCGTTGGTGTATACACTCTTTGTCTTCCTTTAAATCATGAGATTAAAATCACTTTATAACTTCCTTTCTTCCTGTATTATATCCTTATACACAATATTTCTTTTATATATATATAACTATGAATTTGGTGTTCATCTTGTTGTGTCAATGAAGTATGGCAACTTGGACCGATGTATATATGTGTCTCGTCCTACGTTGTAGCTGACTGACTGGCTTCTGAACTTCAGTTACTTGTTTCATAACCATTTCTAGAGTTGGTTCCTAGTTCATAAAAAGTTCACCAAGCAGTGTCCAAAAATCTATTACTTGCAGAGTGAACGCTGCTTCCTAGAAGATTAGCTTCAGCATTATTTAAGCAAACAACAAAATTAGACACCGTAAATATAATTCAAAGTACAAATTAGGATCCCAAACCTCCCTATTTCACTTTTGTGAACCAATATACGTGATATGCATCTTTTATTTTGATGAATAATCACGTAGGTAATAATAAAATCAGACCGAATTCAACATTAATAAAACATACCAACAAGATCAAATGGATTAACCAGGGTGGGAACCCCTCATCAAACAACTTAGCTAGACAGGGTGTAAGTAATATAAAGAATGCCTAAGAGTACTCAGTTCAGAATATAATACTAGTTATTTAAAAAATGTATTGTCCTCTTACCCACAACCCTTTGATTTGAGAATAGATTTAATCTATAAACAAGTCGCATGGTTACTGATTCATTCTCACAAAACATATATACTTCACAAACGTTCGTGCTTAATTAACTTTCTTTTTATCTGATTATATGGTCGGGTAAGTCTTTCTTTCTGTCACTGATAAGTACATTACATTTATGCTGATTGCACCAAGTCACTGTGCGCAAAATGAAACATTCTTCCCAGGTAGTTTCTGCTTGGAAGGAACCTGCCAGTAGACGGATTTTCTACCGGCACATCATTGTGTAGGTGGCATTACTAAGCTAGCCGTCACATATCTTTTGTGATCGCGCACTCCTTAAAGTGTAACTGGAATGCTGGTCTCACTGAGTCACTGTGCGCAAAATGAAACATTCTTCCCAGGTAGTTTCTGCTTGGAAGGAACCTGCCAGTAGACGGATTTTCTACCGGCACATCATTGTGTAGGTGGCATTACTAAGCTAGCCGTCACATATCTTTTGTGATCGCGCACTCCTTAAAGTGTAACTGGAATGCTGGTCTCACTGAGTCACTGTGCGCAAAATGAAACATTCTTCCCAGGTAGTTTCTGCTTGGGAGGAACCTGCCAGTAGACGGATTTTCTACCGGCACATCATTGTGTAGGTGGCATTACTAAGCTAGCCGTCACATATCTTTTGTGATCGCGCACTCCTTAAAGTGTAACTGGAATGCTGGTCTCACTGAGTCACTGTGCGCAAAATGAAACATTCTTCCCAGGTAGTTTCTGCTTGGAAGGAACCTGCAAGTAGACGGATTTTCTACCGGCACATCATTGTGTAGGTGGCATTACTAAGCTAGCCGTCACATATCTTTTGCGATCGCGCACTCCTTAAAGTGTAACTGGAATGCTGGTCTCACTGAGTCACTGTGCGCAAAATGAAACATTCTTCCCAGGTAGTTTCTGCTTGGAAGGAACCTGCCAGTAGACGGATTTTCTACCGGCACATCATTGTGTAGGTGGCATTACTAAGCTAGCCGTCACATATCTTTTGTGATCGCGCACTCCTTAAAGTGTAACTGGAATGCTGGTCTCACTGAGTCACTGTGCGCAAAATGAAACATTCTTCCCAGGTAGTTTCTGCTTGGAAGGAACCTGCCAGTAGACGGATTTTCTACCGGCACATCATTGTGTAGGTGGCATTACTAAGCTAGCCGTCACATATCTTTTGTGATCGCGCACTCCTTAAAGTGTAACTGGAATGCTGGTCTCACTGAGTCACTGTGCGCAAAATGAAACATTCTTCCCAGGTAGTTTCTGCTTGGGAGGAACCTGCCAGTAGACGGATTTTCTACCGGCACATCATTGTGTAGGTGGCATTACTAAGCTAGCCGTCACATATCTTTTGCGATCGCGCACTCCTTAAAGTGTAACTGGAATGCTGGTCTCACTGAGTCACTGTGCGCAAAATGAAACATTCTTCCCAGGTAGTTTCTGCTTGGAAGGAACCTGCAAGTAGACGGATTTTCTACCGGCACATCATTGTGTAGGTGGCATTACTAAGCTAGCCGTCACATATCTTTTGCGATCGCGCACTCCTTAAAGTGTAACTGGAATGCTGGTCTCACTGAGTCACTGTGCGCAAAATGAAACATTCTTCCCAGGTAGTTTCTGCTTGGAAGGAACCTGCCAGTAGACGGATTTTCTACCGGCACATCATTGTGTAGGTGGCATTACTAAGCTAGCCGTCACATATCTTTTGTGATCGCGCACTCCTTAAAGTGTAACTGGAATGCTGGTCTCACTGAGTCACTGTGCGCAAAATGAAACATTCTTCCCAGGTAGTTTCTGCTTGGAAGGAACCTGCCAGTAGACGGATTTTCTACCGGCACATCATTGTGTAGGTGGCATTACTAAGCTAGCCGTCACATATCTTTTGTGATCGCGCACTCCTTAAAGTGTAACTGGAATGCTGGTCTCACTGAGTCACTGTGCGCAAAATGAAACATTCTTCCCAGGTAGTTTCTGCTTGGGAGGAACCTGCCAGTAGACGGATTTTCTACCGGCACATCATTGTGTAGGTGGCATTACTAAGCTAGCCGTCACATATCTTTTGCGATCGCGCACTCCTTAAAGTGTAACTGGAATGCTGGTCTCACTGAGTCACTGTGCGCAAAATGAAACATTCTTCCCAGGTAGTTTCTGCTTGGAAGGAACCTGCAAGTAGACGGATTTTCTACCGGCACATCATTGTGTAGGTGGCATTACTAAGCTAGCCGTCACATATCTTTTGCGATCGCGCACTCCTTAAAGTGTAACTGGAATGCTGGTCTCACTGAGTCACTGTGCGCAAAATGAAACATTCTTCCCAGGTAGTTTCTGCTTGGAAGGAACCTGCCAGTAGACGGATTTTCTACCGGCACATCATTGTGTAGGTGGCATTACTAAGCTAGCCGTCACATATCTTTTGCGATCGCGCACTCCTTAAAGTGTAACTGGAATGCTGGTCTCACTGAGTCACTGTGCGCAAAATGAAACATTCTTCCCAGGTAGTTTCTGCTTGGAAGGAACCTGCCAGTAGACGGATTTTCTACCGGCACATCATTGTGTAGGTGGCATTACTAAGCTAGCCGTCACATATCTTTTGTGATCGCGCACTCCTTAAAGTGTAACTGGAATGCTGGTCTCACTGAGTCACTGTGCGCAAAATGAAACATTCTTCCCAGGTAGTTTCTGCTTGGAAGGAACCTGCCAGTAGACGGATTTTCTACCGGCACATCATTGTGTAGGTGGCATTACTAAGCTAGCCGTCACATATCTTTTGTGATCGCGCACTCCTTAAAGTGTAACTGGAATGCTGGTCTCACTGAGTCACTGTGCGCAAAATGAAACATTCTTCCCAGGTAGTTTCTGCTTGGAAGGAACC